GGGAGGGAGGACAGACGCCATTCTCACACTTCCCATTTTTTAATTCCGTACCACAGCCATCAGACCTGCCTGGTGCTGGTACCAGCACAAGGATTTGAAAGTGACTTTAAAAGAAATACAGGTGGTGCCTGAAATGGATAGTTGCAGTTGACACGGCACACGTGTCTAACAAGCTTCTGATTCACTGACAGTGATGAAGATAAAATTAACTTTGAACCAATGGAAAACATGTTGCTTTGGGTTTTTTGGAACCATCTGTGGTCTGAAAGGTCACTGCACCGGGATCTGCCAGGGACCAAGGCCAGTGACAGGACAAGAGGCAACGGGCACAAACCAAAACACATGAAATTCCATTCCAACACAAGAAAACACTTTTTTACTGTGAGGGTGCTCAAACGCTGGTACAGGTTGCCCAGAGAGGTGTTGGAACCATCAATGGAGATACTGAAAACCCAACTGGCCATGGCCCCGGACAACCTGCTCCAGCTGACCTGCTTGAGCAGGGCGTTGGGCTGGATGATCTGGAGAGGTCCCTTCCCACCCAAACGATTCTGTGACACCGGTCAGATTGGGAAGGAGATCATGCACGGACTCTAAGCGGGTCAGGAGAGCATCTCTAGAACAACAGGAATGGCAAGAGAGGCACCACCACAGGGGAAACATGCCCAGATCAGATGGCAATTTTATACTCTGGGCCGTGTAACCAAGTCCATCCATCTGAGCCCTGAGCTGGGAACATAAATTCAGTAACACCAAATGCCAGCCTGCCCTATGCAGCGCCTTACCGGGGTACCAGGTAGCCAAGGGCACTCACCTGGGTAGCCCTGGTCTGTCTGAGCTCAGACTGGCACAGCGGGTGGGCAGAAACCCATCTGCACCAGCTTTGGTTGGACTCTCTGAGCTCACCTTTTGCCGCCTTCATTCTGCGGGGAGATCCTGGAGGCCGCCGCATGCTCCTGCTGCTGCAGATACGCCTCGCTGGGGGTGCGGCGCAGGTCCAGCACAGGGCACGCGGTCCCAGGGAAGGAGTACACCGGGGTCTGGATGTGGGAGTTGAGCTGCTGTGGGTGATGGCGTGTGTAGTCCTGCGTGATGACCTCCTAGAAGAAAAAACCCCCGAGTCAGAAATAGAGTTGGTTTCTACCTCTTGCTTTGCCAGGCTCAACTAAGACAGGGTAAGCAGGAGGGAATTAGGCTGGTTTGTCCCTGCGGGGATGTAATGTCTGCCTCCTGCCTGCAGCAGCTCTCGTGATGGGCTTGTTGGGGACGCAAACACCGAGCTGAACATGCTTCATGCACCCTGCTCCCCCAACCCCCAACCAGGGGTGCCGAGGTCTCTAGCATCACTCCCAGCCCTTCCCCATCAGATATGTGTCGTATCAGCTCTTCCCTCCTCCCCGGAGCCCCAGCGGGAAGGCGAGAACGAGCTTAATTACGCTGATGTGCTGGGCCAGCGTGACCACCCGTTGGTTCATGCCCTTGATGCTCTGGCTGGACTGCAGGGGCTGGCACTGGGGTTGGGGGCCGTCGGGCTGCCGGAGGTGCTGCAGGTGGGCTGCTTCGGGAGCCGAGGCCTTCAGCGAGCCTGGGGGAGGCACAAAGAAGAGAGCAGGCGGGAGATATCAGCTGTGTCCCCTTCCTCGAACGCCATCCCAGCACAGCACTGGGGCACGGCGAAGAAGAGCTGGGTGATGAAGCCCCCCCATGCCAGCTCGGGCTCTCTTGCGCCGGCTGGCACTGCCAGTCCCTGCCCTCACCTTGCTGTTTCTGCCTCAGGTCATGCTCCCCGTGCCCCTTCTCCGCATCCTGTAGCAGCTTGGCCCCTTTCTCATGGGACAGGCTGGGCGAGCTCACGGGACTCACTGCTTCCATCCGCTCAGGGCTGTAGCCTCCATGAAAGCCTGGGGAAACAGGAGAAGGCAGTTAAAACCAGGAGCTCGCTTGGCTTTTCCCCAGAGCTGCGGCAATCATCGCTTGCGGGTAGAGTCACACGTTCAGCAAAGGGGGGAAAAAAGAGGGATGACTTGGCAGGTCATATTGCAGAAACCCCCGGAGCCACCTCTGATGTCCGGTTGAGTTGATGGCTGCAGTAAAGAGGCGATGTCTCATTCCTGCAGAGCTGGACACTCAGCAGCTCACGGTGACAGCACGAGAGTCAGGAACCAAATTCAACCCCTGCGGGTTCACAACTTGTTCCCCCTCTTCCTCCCACCTAGTGAAACAGAAAACTAAAAACCCCGCTATGCCAGGAGGGAAAGCAACGCTCTGCACGAGTGGAGGTGGTGGCACGGGAGGTCTCAAGTGCTTTACAAAAAAAAGCCCCACGCCCAGCATGGCCAAGAGCAGGGACTTGAAAATGGGGCGTGAGGCCCTGCAGACTCCAGATCCTGCTCCAGAGACAGCAGACTCACACACCGCAGGGGCAAAAAGGTTTCTTGACCATTCTCTGCCTTTTAAGCTTCATCAAAGCAAGCAGAGCTGGAATGAGGAACCACCATTATCCTTCAACAGAGAGAGGAAACCGAGGCATGGACGGGTTATCCTTCCACAGACCAGGGGCGGAGGACAGAGGAGTCCTGGAGGGAGGCCAGCTAAGCGCGTTTGGTAACGCTCATGACTTTTGCCTCCACAGACCTTTACCCTCCTAATGCTCAATTCCTAGAAACCGCCCACTGCAGGCAAATCTGGCAGGCGACCCACGGCTGGAGGGTCCCTGCTGCCCCGGCACAGACACACTGACCTTGCACGTACCCGGGGCACGGGCAGCGAAGGACCCCCATGGAGAACCTCCCTGCGCCGGGGACAGGGACGCAGGATCCCCCAACACCTCATGCATGCCAGCACCGAAGGGACCACGCTTCAGATCCACCCAAGATGACGTGTCCTGCTCTGGAAAGATCCCTAACCAACAGCTAAGTCCTGGGGAACACCAGGTCCTTTCTGTAAGCTCATGGCCATAGAAAAGCTGCCCCTCTCCTCTGCAGCACAACACTCAGCTGGAAAAAACACTGGTGCCAGCGAAAAAGGTGGAGGAAAAGCTCAGCCAGGCAGCGCACTGCGGCCAGAGGCACATCCTTGGCCCTGGAGCACACTGCTAGAAGGGGCCGGGACCAGACATGACCAAGTGGTGGGATGGGTGGGTCGGGATGTGCCGGCAAGAGCAGTTCTCCTCCCCTGGCCACGCTGCCGTGTCCTTTTCTCCCTCGGGTTGCAGGAAGGGGAGCTGGGTAGCAACCCCCAGTGCCGATGGCCAAGGCAGATGCTTCAACTTGAAGAAGGGGTCTCATCAAATCCCCGCTGGCTGCCTAATGCTTCTGTATGCTGGTGGGAGCCTGGATGAACGCTCTGGATGAAGATTGGTCCCATCAAGAACGATCTAGACCTTGAATCCAGCCCCCTCCCTGCACTTGCTTCTGGAGAGACTTATCCCACCGCTTTTATGTCCTACACAAGATTGCTGGTAGGTGGTTCCTGTGGTCTGCTCTGGAAGGGGCTGCCGAGCACGGCTGGGCTGAGTCATCCCTAGACAGCCCTGCCCGCGTTGCTGCAGCACCCAGCACCAGGACCCTGAGCAAGGTCACCCCAAGCGTGGGGACCCCATCTAAGCTGCGTCATGCAGCAGCCCGCAAAGCCCTCTGAGATCCTGCACGCTCAACGGCACAACTGTGAGCGGTGAGGTTGCGTGTCTGATGGCCAGCAGCCCTGTCCCGCTCATACTCCCAGTTCTCTGCTTCGCTCGTTTGATTTATTACCCACAACTGTTCCTTACAGACTGCCTGGGAATTTCTAACGATGGGGAAATCAGAATTAGCAAATTGCTATTGTCTGTAAAAAGCAATACCAGGAACTGAACAACATTTGCAAAACAGGACTTGGCAACAGGAAAAAATAAAACGAGGCTGGGAGAAGGGAAGATCCCTAAAACACACACAAATAAAAAAGTCTGGAGGAACACAACAACCGGGAAGCAGAGGGACAAGCACACTGGGGGAGCTGATGAAGCCAACAGCCAAAACGTGCAACTAAAAATAAGAAATAACGAAATAAAATGGGTTTCAGTCCACAGCTCTCTCGCCTCTCCCCTCCAACTTCTTACCATCGCTAGCGGAGTCATTACTTAGTGAGCCTCTTTCTCGCTGCCCCTTATCGCACGACATTTGGCGCATGATAATCACATCTATGAAGTTGGCTGCTGTCGTGGTGGTCTTACCGAGTGCTCGGAGCTCCTGTTCCTGCATTGAAAAGGGTTTACTTTGACTCTTTTCTCTACTGTGCTGCTCGGGGCCCGAGGCTGCGTGCTGCTGGTCCAGAGGGTGATGGTGCTGCTGGCTTTTCCCCTGTCCTCTGCTATAGTGATGAGAAGAACCAGGTCCGGAGGCGGGTAAAGGTCTCGACTCCATGGCTTTAATGGGTGAAGGTGACTGTTCGAGGTTGGCCCCACTGGGCAGCTTTGAGGTGAAGACGTTGTTGTCAGTCTGGGGTCGTTCTGCCTTGGCTTCCCGTGCCCTCGAGGCCTCTTTCTGCAGGACGGCCGGGTCCATCAGGGCCGCGTAGCCGTCTGCCGCGCTGATGGAGGAGCGCAGGGTGGAGGCTGAGGGGAAGGCGGCGGAGCGGATCGGTGACGTGGTAGTGGTGGAGGAGGATCTGGAAGGCCAACGAAGACAAGGCGAAGATGAGAGAAGCACGTGGAGAAAGGGGAGTGCTGTTACCAGAGCCCTGGCGTTCAGCCCTGCCTGGCCAAGGTCTCCTGAGCCTAGGGTTGGCCTGTACTGGAGCAGGTGAGGAGGGCTCAGATAGAGCCTCCACTACAGTAACTGGCCACGGGGTATTGGCTGTGGCCTGGACACATCAACTGGAAGAAAAAAAAACCATGGGACAGGTCCTAGAGACCTTCATAACTCCACCACCAGGCAACCTTCAGCAAGAGGAGTGATACCCTCTTGCCTATGCGATTTGAGCACAGACAGCCCTGGGATGCTCCTGTTTTCTCTCCTGGTAGCAGTAAAAACCACGAGGAAAAGCAAACGAACTGGACACCAAAATCCACCTCTCCCCATCACAACTTCCCTGTAAACCCCAATCCTGCTCCTGCTGAGACTGAAGGCAAAACCAACCCTCGCTCCATCTCAGAGGTGCCCCATGCAATGCTCATTAATTAACCACCATGGCTGCCCTGGTGCAGGAGTCCAGGTAAGCTGCAGGAACTGTGGCGGGGAGACATACCGCAGGACGGAAGGGGTGGGGGTCTCCGAGGAGATGATCTTCATGCTTGTGTTGTGGAGCACGCTGGGGCGCTGCTGGATGGTCTCGTGGGTGCGGGGAGAGACAGGAGAGTGCTGGTGGCTGTGAGAGTGTGAGGACGAACGGCTGCTGGACTGCTCTGTACCTGGGGGAAAATACAAAGAAGGGCTTCTTTAGCTCTTTGTTTTATAGTCCCAACCCTACCTCCACCCAGCATGGGCCCCAGGCTAGGTGCTGGGCTCCTCCCCAGCCTACCTGGTCTCCAGATGGGTGCATGCTCCACCGTGGTGGACGCTAGGATGGATTTTTCACGCTCCCTCTCCCGTTCCCGCTCCCGTTCCCGCTCGGACACCGACGATCCCGACTGTTTGGTCATGTGCGTGGGGCCTCCTGAAACCCAATAAAAAAAGGCAGTGAAAGGGCTGCAGACAGAGCGATTCCCCCCGGGGAACACCGCCTGCTCTTCACATTGCTGTGTCTGCAGAGCAGATAAGGAACGGCTCCATCCAAGGTCACCTGGAGCAGGACAGACAGGGGCAACCGGTATGACAAAACCTGGGCAAATCATGCAATAAATGTCCCGGTGTCATCTCCAGGGTATGAGCTTCCAAAAAGCTGTTTGCCGCTTTGGAGAAGAAGGGGGAAAAGCAAGGAAGCCCCCAACAAGCAGGATGAGAGCAGCCGGTCTGAGGGAAGAGGAAGGGGGGAGCGCGTCTGAGGGAGCCAACGGGCTGGTCCCTGAGTGAGAATGAATTTGGGGTCCCCCCATCTGCCGCGGCATGCTGAGCTCATGGCCCTGAATTGGTTAAGGGCGTCCTGCCCAATTACTCTCCCGTGGGAAAAGCAACCTGCAGCGTTACCTGGGGAGAGCGGGGAGCTGCTGTGCCGGCTGCCGAAGGTCTGGGGGGGGCCGGGGATGTAGGTGATGCGGTCCATGGTGGTGGCGGAGGTGCCGGGGGTGGGAGGCACGAGGACGGGCAGGTGTGGCACTTGGGACAGGTCGATGATGCCTGGAGAGAGAAATGAGAGGACTGTCAGGATGACACCGAGCCGGTGCAGCTTGGCCGCGCTGGAGCGGGGAGCGATGCTGGGGAGGGTCAACCCGTCCCGCTGCTCTGGCACAGCGCAAGAGGTGCCAGCACGTGCATGGCCCCCGGGCGCTGGCTGTCAGGGGAGGGGACCCTTCTGCGGGCAAATACAGTGTGTCCTGCTGCTGGAAATAACGGGGAGGAAAAATGCTGAGATCTATCCTGGCCAAGTGAGGGGACTGCAGGCAGCATCAGCCGGACACCAACGCTGCTCTGCCTGCGGAGGGGCAGGAGCACCGCCCCGCGCCCTGCGCACTTCCCAGCAAGCTCCACTTTTTGCAGAAAGCCAGATATCCTTCTGGGAGTGTATTTTAATCTCCAAAGGCCAGCAGGGCCAGGCTGGGAAGCACTCCCATGACCCAAAACCAGAGCTGCACAGAAGGAGCCTCAAATAACTAAAGACGGCAAAAAGAGCATCAAATGCCCCCTCACTGTCCTCCATGCTGACTGGCCGAGTTCCTACACTGCTGGGTAACACCGTGCTGCTGGCTTGGCCCTTGGCCCCAGGGCTAGAGCTGGCGGTGCTGCCCTAACCCAGCCTCTTCCTCCCAAAATGCCCCCAAAACCCCGGAGGATGCGGTGCCAGGAGGACCTGCTGCATAGTTGAGGGTGAGCGAGGGCTCCCGGGGTGACAAGCCGCGCAGCATGTCCGCCCGCTGTGCCATGGCCGTGGCTGCGGCGTTGTGGTGCATCTGCTGGGACGTGATGTAGTCGTTGATGATGGTCTGTCGGTTCTCCATGGCGGCTGTGTCCGGGTAGCCCCGGATGAGGTACGGGGGGTAGAGGTGGGGGTACGTGGGGCTTGGAGCCAGATGCCTCGGCAGGTAGTAAGCAGCAGCTGGGAGAGAAAAGGATGCAGACATGAAGTGGCCTTCCCCAGAGACCTCAGGCTTTTGGAGCATAAGAAGGAAAAAATCAATCCCAAACAGACCGTGCCCCCGCCGAAGGTACCTGCTTCCAGTTGGATTCCCCTCGGGATGGCGGCAGGGTCGAAAGCCAGCGGGATGTGTCCTCGGTACAGGTCGACCCCGCTCACGCCACGGAGCAGGTGCTCGTACGGGGAGATGGGGTGGTGGTGGTCGGCCACGGGGGCATGCGGAGACTTGGAGTTGGTGAGCTCTCTCGATGTGGGGGTGATCTTTCTGTCCTGGGACACCGGCTTCCCGGCAGTGATGCTCCCTGCAGTGAGCAGAAGGAAATGAGTCAGAGGCTGAGTGCTGCGGCCAAGCCGCGTCCCTGAGGGGTGCCTGCGGCCAAGCATGTCCCCCAGGGACACCTGCGGCTCCCCCTGAACTTGAGGGACCTTTCCCTCCTCCCTGCAACGCCATGCCCTGTTACACCACCAAGGCCGAGGCGGGCCAAGCCCCGGTCCCACCCAGGAGGAGAAGCCCGTTCCAAGCCATCCCTCCACCCCAGCGCATCCACCGTGGCCACGCCGGGCGGTCTGTGAGTTCAAGCAGCCGGCGGTGGAGCCTTGCTGCCGTGCTCCTCGGCACGAGGTGGTCACCGCCGCCAGGCAGAGCCAGGGACCCCGAAACTCCTAGCAATGGTGACGAAACACAGTTCAGAGGGTTCGAGCACCCACTACCCTCTGGAGCTCTTTCCCAGCACGTGGAGGGAAGGCTGGATGATGTCAGAGACTTCTCTTGGCTCTCCCAACCTGACCTGGGTGTTGGTGGTGCTTCTCGCCCCACCTGGGATGAGCATCACCAGCTCCCGTGTCCGTACCACAGAGCCACCCCCACGGAGCCTGACCAAACCCCTCGCACCAGACTGCACACCAAACGCTGCCCGGCCCTGGCTCGGGGAGCAAGGAGCAGCCCCCGCGGGTGCACGCAGACGGATCCAGCCCCATCGTTGCCGACTTTAAAACAACCTTGGCTGCAACACAGGCCATGCGAACTGCCGCTCCCGCTCCTTTCATGAAGCTCGGCGTCTCGGTGAGGCCATTAATAAATCAAACCTACTGTCGGGGCAGAAGGAAAGCTCAGGTGACTCGGGAAAGCTGCCTTCTAACTCCGACCTGTGCCTTGGGGACTCCTCCTGCAGATCCTCTGCACCGCAAAACCCTGTGAGCTCCGGACATGCAGAAATCCATTTTCTTACCGGCATTTTGCAGGAAAATTGATTTTTCCCTTGGGATCCCTCCCCACTGCCCGGGCACTGCCTCCCCTGCCTTGTGCTCACCGTATGTGCCAATCTCAAAGAGCTGCCAACATCTGAAGGCTTCCCCCAAAGTGACTGACCTAACCGGGAAGACGGCAGAGACTGCGGCAATGGGACGCACCAACCACGGAGACCTGGAGCTGGTCCAGCTGGCAGCAAGCGATGGGGGAGGCTTTTTGGAGGAGCTCTGCACTGCACAGCCCCATCTCCCGCGCCTTGCCGGGGAGGCGCATCCTGGCCTCAGTTTTGGCAGACTGCGGTGTCTTGTGCTGCACGCCCCCAAATCATGAGACTTTTGGGTTAGGATAAGGATTTGCAGGCGGGAGATGCAAACAGCCCTGAAGCAGTTACCCGTAGCTTAGCAGGCTCGGTGGGACAAGGGACTGGATTCAGCACTGATCCTGCCCACGAACGTGGCATGAAGCAAGAGGGTTTTTTGTGCCCTGGATCTGAACGTGTCTCACCAGATCACTGAGCACAGCCCAGACCCGCGCCTGCTCCCCGGGAGCCCCAGGTCTGGCTTTGGGGGCAGGAGACGACTGATGCCAGGGGGCACGGGCAGACCCTGCCTGGCGCAGGCAGACGGGCCGGGGGATGGCAGATCCCAAAGGCCGGCCGCACTGCCTGGATCCACTGGCTCAGAAGGGATTAGATGTTCCTGGAGGTGAGGTACTCGGGTACCTAGGTGATGGGTGAGGCATAAACACACGAGGTAGGCAAACACACACCAGATCGGTGAAAATCCCCCCACCTGGTGCACCGAGCACTGCTTTCCTGGCCGCCTGTAGAAATAGGGGTGCCTGGGCAACGCCGGGACAGGGAAGACGCCT